GCATGAGCGCCTGCCTGGCAAGTGAAAGGTCCAAGTTCAGTCCCCCATACTGAAGAGGGAAAAAAAGTGCATAGATTTCTAGTGTCACCCACGCAGAGCTGGAGATCTGGGCGATTTCCCCCTTGCGTTTTGTACCTAAAGGAGAGAGAATAAGGGGAGCCGCATTCACATTTTCCAAAGCGAGCAGAAAAATAAGCAACCTTTTAGGTCTGATTTCTGGTGCTTATAAAAGAAAGAATTTAAACATTGGCAAGGCCATCTTATTTTTGGGGGGACCTTTCATTTTCATTTTGTAATTTATTCCCCATCTGTTGGGGGCTCCAGGTGAGAGCACTCAGCCAGGTATGAAGGCAGAAATAAGTTACTAAAAACTGAAGGAGGTTAATATTAACTTGCCTTCCCTGCAGCAACAACCTGTCGTCTAGGGTCACCTGGTGAAACCAGCAGAGTGAGGTGGCTCATGCCAGGGAGGCTGAGGCAGGAAGATCACTTGAACCCAAGAGTTAGGGGCCAGCTTAGTCTATATGGGGTGGGCGTCACCCCCCAGATGATGTCTGTGCTGCCGCCTTCTCAACTCTTCCCCTGCCTGTGGCCCCTGGAGTTGGGGCTCAGCTGGGAGCTCAGAGTGAGGCCCAGGCTTATTGAGGATCCTGCTCTGATTGGTCCCAAGCTGGGATGATGCACAGTGACATGGATGGACTGGACAGGAGGAATGAAAAATACCAGTGCTGGATGAGATAGTGCACTTAGGAGGCTGAGGCAGGAGGGTCACTGTGAGTTCAAGGCCAGCCTGGACACATTGAGATCTCCCTTTCCAGTAAATCCCTACTTCTCAATAGAGGTCTGAGGATAAAGGAGTGAATTAATTAGCTAAACGGCCCCTGCAAAGCACAGGTTAATGTTAAGTCTCTCAGCCCTTTCATACTCACCGCATTAACTTGTTAATTGGATCAGGCCCTGCTTCCCACAGGGAGTACTCATTAATGCCCAGCCACTTGGTCCCCTGGGGCCTGGCGATCATTTCCTACAGTCAGCTGCACCTGCAGGACAGAGGGCTCCCCAGGGGACACTGCTTAGCACAGGGCGACATTGCCACCCCCCACAATGTGGACACAGCTGGCCTGGGCGGAGTTCCCAGACCTGCGTGGGGGCTCTGGTAACTCCACCTTACCCCTGCTATCTCAGATCAGTGCAGGACCCAGGCAGGAGACGCCTGCTTCCCGGGCGGGGCCGTGGTACCCCGGGTCAGTTTCTTCCTGAAGAATCTAAAGACTCGCTACAACCAGCAGCCCCTCCTCCAGAATGTGACAGGAAAGAGTCAATTTTGTGATTGTCACTGCCTCTGGCAACTCTTCCTCAACCCTTTTCTTTTTTTTTTTGGCGGAACCCGGGATTGAACTCAGGCCTTTATGCTTGCCAGGGAAGCACTTATTCCACTGAGCCATCTCCCCTACCCTTTTCTTTTGTCTCTTTCTTTTTCTTTAATTTTTATTTTTAGGGTCGTGATTCCGAAAATCCCCAGAAATAACTGTGACATTGTAATAACCTGCCCACAGCTCCCCACTCTTCTGCTCAGAGGCTGAGGCAGGAAGACTGTTGCAAATTTGAGGCCAGCCAGGGGTACAATCAAGGCCAGCCTGGACTACATGGTGAGACATAGTCTCCAAAAAGGATGTTTGAGGTGTTTTGGTTTTGTGGAACTGGGGATTGAACTCAGACCCTTGTACTTGCCAGGGAAGTGCTTATTCTACTGAGCCATCTCCCCAGCGCCCCCCCCCCTTTTTGTACCAGGAATCAAATTTAGCACATTCCACTTGCCAGGCAGGCTCTCATCCTGGCCCAAATGTTTTACTTTGAGGAACAGTCTCAAGTCAATAAATCGCCTGGTTGAGCTCCAATTTTTGATCTTCCTGCCTCAGCCTCCCAAGGACTTTGCGCACAGGCGTACCCACTTCACAGGGTTCCCAATCCGATGGAAGCCAGGCCTACAAACATGACTGTGCTGGACGGATCTCAAATAAGAAGAACACAGGCCAGCGCTGGCCTGGTCCTCATGAAAACAGAGCCACCCAGAGAGGTCTCGAGAGGGCAGGAGCCCAGCACCGCCGCACAGGCAAAGCTGGGGCCCCTGTGAGGGTGTCAGCCAGCTTAGCTGGGGTGTCCTCACCCACCTCAAAGGCCCACAATGTTCACAGAGGGAACAGATGTTTGCTGTTAAATGATTAAACTTGGTTGCGCTCAGCTCAAAAAAATCTTGCTTAGCTTTTTTTCCTCCAGCCGTAAAGAGCTGCACAATGAGATTTATTTTCTTAAAGAGAAAACTTACATGGATAGGTTTCAAAGTTGACATTTCAGACTTGGGAACTTAGATGACACCAAATAATGTATGGGGTGGGGTGGGCCTTGCATCTGGATGATTAGGAATACACTTTTTTTTTTTTTTTTTTTTTTGTATTTTAAGGAAGGGTTTACAGGGTATTCAGGGTCTCACTACTAGATTGGACTCAGAGATCTGCCTGTTTACAGCCTGGCAAGAGCTGGAATTACAGCCGTGGGCCACCATGCCCAGTCTCAATTGCTGTCTCAGCCCACCCTGGGGCCAGGGCCAGCATGGCAGACCTTGGGATTGAACCCTGGGCCCTGCGCCTACTTGCAGGCTCTTTAATCCACTGAGCTATTTGGCCAGCCCCAGGAATATTCATTATTTTGTTTGTTTTTCTCCTAAAAGTCATTTGGAATACACATTTTTTAAAAAGAAAAAAAAAAAA